ATCCGATCCACGTTGGTCCAGCTGACTCCACATATATTTCTTTCCATCCGCTCCTCGGACCAAACTCTCGCCAGTTCACTCCACTCCCCTACCCTACCCAAGCTCGTCTCCGGTGGATTCCGGCTGTCTTTGGCATGGCAGGCAGTGGATCCGAGTCCTTCACATCCAGATCCGTCGACCCCGAGCTCATCCTACGCATCCCCGAGGAGAAGATGGGCGTTTGGCTTGCACTCTGCCGCTCCCAGGAGGAGGCCCGTGCACGGCAGCGCTCGGACTCTTTCCGTCGGGTATCCATTGCGTCCGCCCAAATGGCGCATGGATCCGGCGCTAGGGCAGCCGTCGCCGCTCCACCGGAGGCGGTGCAGTTCGTCTGGCGTCCAAACGCGATGGCGGACGCGCAACCCCGCCGTTGGCGCGCCGAGGCCATGGACGCACCATGGGCGTCATCCGACGCAATCATGGCGTGGTATGGCCGCCGTGCGCGGTAGCGGGCGCGGGACGCGGCGACAGCGCTCGCGGTAGTGGATGTCGGCGAGGCAGAGTCGCATTATCTGATACCCCGTATGGTGCACCACTCTGGGCGCCGCAACTGTGTTGTGGTGGATGTCGTCGGCTCGTCCCAGGACGGACCCATCATCGATCTGACGTCCACCGGCACCCAACGGGTTTCAGGCTCGCGTCCCATGCCCTACTCTACCTTGCCGGTGACCGGACCAACACTCTGGGGAGCGCAGCCTGCCGTTGTACATGGCTACGGCGACCGGGCGAGCTCCATTTAAAGATTGCGACGTTGCATGTAATAATATGGATTTTTGAGGTATCCTGATATGGATTGCATTACTTGAGACGTGACAAGTCAGTGTCCGCGGACGTGCCCGGGCGTTTGCGGGGCCAGATTTGCTCATCGCGACTGTAGATGCTCTAAGAGTCATAGGCATATACGGATATGACAATACTATTACTTTAGACTCTAGTTCTACGTGACAAAAGACTAAGGGCATCTTCAACATGGACCCTTAAACTGCCCCAAACCTACTGGATCGTGTCGGTCGTGTTTTGCCAACCAACGCGGGCCTGCATCGGTCCGTCGATCGGTCCGGGCGCACTTTTTCCTACAAGCTTGAGACAAACTCAGGAGCGGGGGACTTTGTGGGCGTCCTAATTCCTGCCACGCGTCTCACTAACCTGGCCTACCAAAAAACCTACCAGCCTCTCCCGCGCTTTTTATCGAACGCCCGCGTAGGTTGCCGCGCCGCATTCATGCCGGCCCAAAGCATGCAGCGACCTGCTTTGATGCCGCACATCATGACTACACATGAGGGCGGCGCCGACGGACGCGACCTCTCAGGCGTTGCCACTTCAATGCAGACGTCATGTCTCGAGAAACCAACTCCGGCTGCTGCTCCGCATTGGGGCGGGCTAACTATCACTTCGCTGGGCCTTGCTGCAGTTATTTAAGCCGTGCGCCAGTGATGCTTATCCGCACTTATTCGTCCTCTCGAAGCCTCTCCAACTCCATCGGCGAGGCTGAAGTCGTGGTTCTCGGTGCCAACAAGTGAGGGCGATGGCGGTGGTAGTTCTGTGTCAGGTGGATCTTCTTGTTCTTGGAGGTAAATAGCAAGTTCTTTTTCATAGTTTGCCCTGCCATGAGCCCAAAGAAGAAATCACAGGTTAACTCATTTATGGAAATGTTTCCACCATGATGCGGAGCATCCTACGAACATCACCATGGGAAAAGTCCGTTTGTCAAGTGACACGTGCGACATCAACTTCGTACTTAAGGTGAATCATCTCATTTGCACATGTTCACTTAATGCCTTTGAGGATGTTATCCTACTTGACACTCCTCTTATGTGCGCACGTAGGTGTTATCAAAGCTTCACGAATGACGAGGATGAGTGCAAGCGCAAAGAAACGACTACGCCATCCGCGAAGGAAGCTTGGAAGCAGAGACAGAGCTGCGGAGCTACAACCACCGGACATCTGGTCCACTACCGAACGTCCGGTATCTAGTGTAGAGGAGCCAACCAGAAGGACAACAGCTGACGGACGCTACAATGGCCGGACGACCAACGAACCAACGTACGTCCAACAAGTTCCAATGGTCGGACGTCCGGTCTCCACCGGGAATCTGGCACCACATGTCCAGAGGCAAACTGACAGAAGTCCGACACGCATCGGACATCCGAACCATCCCGAGGCACCGGACGTCCGACATCTATCAAATCCGTTACCACTGCCCCGAGAAGAATGGACGGACATCCGGTCCTCGAAAAACCACCAGACATCCGGTACCTGCCTATGCGCATGAGAGGGCCACGGGCCTTGTAAACCTTCTCCACTTACCCCTTCGAGGCTAGCACTATATTTACTCTTCCCCACCTCATTTCTAGGGCTAGTTAAGAATATATTTCATATCATAGAGCTTGCTCATGTATCTCCTCTTGTGTGATTCCTTTTAGGAGTAGATCCATGAGTGGATTCAAGGCCTCCTAGTGAGAAGAACCATCTATACTTGCCAAGGCCCCTATGTGGGAAGATTCCTTCATGAAATCCAAGACCCATCACTCCTAGAGATTTGGATGAACTACCCATGTATTTTTCTTTTCCTTGTGGTTCTTGGATCTTGATGCACCTCTTCTATTGCTCTAACATGGTTTTTTCTCCCACCACACCTTTTCTTGTCAAACCGGTTCCCCCTTCCATCATGTCTCTTCATCGTTTTTTCCTTTTAATAGGTTTTTTGTCCTATCACACCATATTTAACCGCACCTTCTCGTACGCCCTTCTATCACATTAATTTACTTACCTTAGGCATCAATTTCATAATTTAAGTACCATGCATGACACATCCTACGTTCTTTATATTTTGGTAAGTTTAGATATTTTTTTCCACACCTTTGATTGTGTATCGGTCACATGCATGATGGGATTAAGAGATCATGACCGGATCAATTAGAACGCCTGTGTTTTGAAAAGTTTGGATTTCCTAAAAACACGATTAGTATATCACATTCCTCTCTTTGACTTAGTCGAAGAAGCCAATCTGCATATCTCTACTACTATTAATCTCTACTACTATTAAATACTCCCTCCATTCCAAAATATAGTGCGCCCGCGCTTTCCGAGGTTCAACTTTGACCGTAAATTTAACCAACAAGACCAACTGCGGCGGAAGAAAAAATTATATAATTGAAAACTTCTTTCGAATACGAATTCACTGATATAATTTTTGCTCCCGCCGCAATCGGTCTTGGTAGTTAAATTTACGGTCAAAGTTGAAGCACGTAAATAGAGGAAGCACTACATTGTGGAA